TCTCTAGTTTTACCAAGAGTGCATGGGAGAAGCAACACTCCAATGGCAACGAACACAGGTAGTGTTCAAATCTTGGTTTCTATGCACAATTCTCCTTTCAAAACGATTCAAAGAGTTCTAGATAAATGACCTATCCAGGATGGAGCAGAGAAAGTACAAGTGGAGACTGGAACATTATGTTGTGCTATAAAGTAGGGAAGTGCTCAGAGGATGATAGTTACATGTCAATGGGACACAGAAGCAAATTGTTGTTGTTCAGTCACTAAGTCATGTCCGAGTCTTTGCAGCACCATGGACTGCAGCATGCCAAGCTACTCTGTCCTTCACTATCTCCTTGAGTTTGCTCAAGCTCATGTCCATGAAGAGTCGGGGATGCCATCCAAACCACTTCATCCTCTGTCATCCCCTTCTCCTCCTACCTTCAATCTTTCAAAGCATCAGGGTTTTTTCCAATGAATCAGCTCTTCGCATCACGTGGTCAGAGTATTGCAGCTTCACCTTCAGCATCAGTCCTTCCAATGACTATTCAGGGTTGATTTCCTTTAGGATTAACAGGTTCAATCTCCTTGATGTCCAAGGGACTCTCAAGAGTCTTCTCCAGCGCCACAATTCGAAAGCATCAATTCTTCAGCGCTCAGGCTTCTTTATGGTCCAATTCTCACAGCCATACATGACTATTGGAAAAACCATAGCTTCAGACCTTTGTTGACAAAAAGATGTCTCTGCTTTTTTAATACGCTGTCTATGTGTGTTATAGCTTTTCTTCCAAGGAGCAAGCATCTTTTAATTTCATGACTGCAGTCACCATTCACAGTGGTTTTGGAGCCCAAGAAAATAAAATTTACCACTGTTTCCATTTTATCCCCATCCATTTGCCATTAAAGGATGGGATTGGATGCCGTGATCTTAGTTTTTGAATGTTGAGTTTTAAGTCATCTTTTTCACTCTTCTCTTTGACCATCATCAAGAGGCTCTTTGTTCCTCTTCTGCCATTAGGGTGGTGTCATCTGAATATCGGAAGTTGTTGATTTTTCTCCATGCAATCTTGATTCCAGCTTATGAGTTATCCAGCCTGGCATTTTCCATGACGTACTCTGCATATAGGTTAAATAAGCAGGGTGACAATACTTTACATACTTCTTTCCCAGTTTTAAACCAGTCTGTTGTTCCATGTCCAGTTCTAACTGTTGCTGCTTTACCTACATACAGGTTTCTCAGGAGACCAGTAAGATGGTCTGGTATTCCCATCTCGTTCAGAATTTGCCAAATTTGTTGTGATCCACACAAAGGCTTTAGCGTCGTCAGTGAAGCAGAATAGATGTTTTTCCAAATTCCCTTGCTTCTTCTGTGATCCAGCAGATGTTAGCAATTTGATCTCTGGTTCCTCTGCCTTTTCTAAATCCAGCTTTTACACCTAGAAGTTCTCAGTTTATGTACTGTTGAAGCCTAGCTTGAAGGATTTTGAGCATTACCTTGCTAGCGTGTGAAATGAGCACACCTGAATGATAGTTTGAACATTCTTGGGCTTCCCTTGTGGCTCAACTGTAAAGAATCTGCCTGTAATGCGGGTGACCTGGGTTCAATCCCTGGGTTGCGAAGATCCCCTGGAGAAGGTAAAGGCTACTCAATCCAGTATTCTGGCATGGAGAATTCCATGGACTGTATAATCCATGGGGTCACAAAGAGTTGGACACAGCTGAGCGACTTTCACTTTCACCTTGAGCTTTCTTTGGCATTGCCTGTCTTTGGGATTGCAATGAAAACTGATCTTTTCCAGGCCATTGTTGAGTTTTCCAAATTTGCTGGCATACTGAGTGCAGCACTTTATCAGATTCATCTATTAGGATTTGAAATAGCTCAGCTGGAATTGCATCACGTCCACTAGCTTTGTGCCTAGTAGTGCTTCCTAATGCCCACTTGACTTCACACTCCAGGATAACCACCATCATGGTTAGCCGGGTCATTAAGACTTTTTTGTACAGATCTTCTGTGTATTCTTGCCACCTCTTCTTAATCTCTTCTGCTTCTGTTAGGTTACTGCTGTCTCTGTCCTATAGTGGGCCCATCTTTGCATGAAAAGCTACCTTGGTATCTCTAATTTTCTTGAAGAGATCTCTAGCCTTTCCATTCTATTGTTTTCCTCTATTTTTTTGCACTGTTCACTTTAGAAGGCTTTCTTATCTCTCCTTGCTATATCTTTGGAACTCTGCATTTAGTTGGGTATATCTTTGCCTTTAGCTTCTCTTCTTTTCTCAGCTATTTGCAAGGCCTCCTCAGACAACCATTTTGCCTTCTTGCATTTCTTTTTTTCTGGGATTGTTTTGGTTACCTCCTCCTGTTCAATGTTATGAACCTCCGTCCACAGTTCTTTAGGCACTCTATCAGATCTAATCTCTTGAATCTATTTGTTACTTCTACTATATAAGCATAAAGGATTTGATTTAGGTTATACATGAATGGCCTAGTGATTTTCCCTACTTTCTTCAAGTCTGAATTTTGTAGTAAGGAGCTCAGGATCTGAGCCACAGTCAGCTCCAGGTCTTGTTTTTGCTGACTATATAGAGCTTCTCCATCTTCAGCTGCATATAATCAATCTGTTTTTGGTACCGACTATCTGGGGATATCATGCTGTGCTATAAAGTAGGGAAGTGCCCAGACGATAATAGTTACGTGTCAAAGGGACATAGAAGGCAACTTGAAAGGACTCCTACTTCTGAATCTGGAAGAGTTTGAGCTTCAAAATAAATAGTGTTGGTAGCAGATTATATATCTCATTGAATAAAATAGAAAACCATAAGTCATACAGATATAAATAAACTGAAAGTTTGATGAGGAATGGGAATATTTACATAATTGTAAAGTACCTCTCCACAAAATGCATATCCATTTCAAAGAGGGCAGTTGAATAGTGGAGAAGCAGACACCACCTTAAACAAGCAGTCACCTGTGAAATCACCAGTCCTGGGCAAATCCAAATTCTGTATCATGTAGTGAGAAGAGCACAGTCTAATGTCTGTGGTATTTCTAATAAAAATTCAGAACCTGAATCTATTCTGGAGAAAACAGAACAAGTTAAAATAAGAGATCTACAATAAAATTGGCCTGATCTTCATGTCAAGGGAATGAAAATTAAAGAAAGGCAGACTCAAGAAGACAAATGGCCATGGTAATCAGCTGTTCTTGTATGATTCTGGATTGCATCCTTTTGCACTATTGGGACAGCTGGGGATACCCAAACTAGATCCAAGGATTTTGATGGCTGACTTCAAGAGGATGCCCTTGTTTATAGTGAAAACTCCAGTGATATTTAGGGGTGATAGGTTATCATGTCAGCAACTTACTCTCAAATCATTCAGAAAAAAAAGTACTTTGTATTGCACTTGCAACCTTCCTGTTTGAGATTGTTAAACATTAAAAATACACATTGGATGAAATATAGTTGACTGTTTAAAGGAAAAATAAACTCTAGGGTTTATAAATACATAAAAATAAAGTACATGGAAATAATAGCATGAAGCATAGGAAGAGGAAGATGAAAGCATACTCTTGCTAGGTTCTTATATGTAAAGTGATAAAAAATATTTTAAGGCATAATCTGAAATAAATTGAAAATTCAGGTGCTTACAATGTAAGCAAACATTAGCAGTCAACATATAGGAGTTCAAAGAAAAACCAGCTACATAATTGCAGGAAGGAGTTTGATATGGCTTAGAAAAATAGCTAAGAATGACATATTAATATGACACAAAAGGAAATAATCAGGGCAACAGTAATGGATTTTGTTACAGAAAGCTTTAAATTTTCTCTGGTCAGACTCCATGGGCAAAACTGAAAGCAAGCATGAAGTGGAGGCATTAAGGGCTTCCCCGGGGGCTCAGACTGTAAAGCATCTGTCTGCAGTGCAGGAGACCTGGGTTCGACCCCTGGATTGGGAAGATCCCTTGGAGGAGGGCATGGCACTCCAGTATTCTTGCCTGGAGAATCCCCATGGACAGAGGTGCCGGGCAGGCTACAGTCCACAGGGGCCGCAAACAGTCTGACCCGACTGAGCGACCAAGCACAGCACATTAAGTGTAGGGGAAAAAATTTCAAATATGTTCCAGACAAAAGGTGAAAACTACCACTATATAAAGGGTTCTCTTATAAGCTGTAAGAAAATTATAGGAATTCCAATTTAAACACAAAGAAGATGTGAACAGGTAATTTATAAAGAAGAAACAGTGGACAAAAATGTCCTATTTCTGACTCTGTGCTATACATAAAGTGCAAGATGAAATATATATACAGGTATACATCTTGTCCCCCAAAATAACTTGAGCTCAGTTCCACATTTAGAAGGATGGGTTTACTACATGGGATTTTATAATGTAAATCTGCCATCAACCGGAATAAGGTGATATTTTACAATTCTTCCACCATTTATCAGGTAGTCCCACAAAATAGGGATTACATATTTATCAAAATAGGACAGAATATAACCAGTAGCTGGAATTATGGTTTATATTTCAGAGATCAATTCAATGAGTTATAAGATATAGATACATGATTCTTGTTTTTATGAACTCACAACCTAAGGAAGAAAGATGAGAGGCATAAATATATTTAACTAACTGAAAGTTGCTTTATGACAAGCCCCATTTACATTCCAGAGTGTAGGTATAACACTAAGGTTAAAGGATTAGGGATTAGAAATTAAAAGGTATGCAGTGAAGTATCTAAAATCTGTTGTACATTAAATGACAACATGTTCTTGAACGAGGAAGAAAAGAAGGACATTTTTTTCATTCTTATTTACTATTTCTTTAATTTCTCCATTTTTGATTATTATAACAATTTACAGCCATCCAAATGGATGACTTTCAAAAACTGAGATAACCCAAAGGTAGTTGTAAAAAATATTTTTTTTTCAAAATATGGTTTCCATCATTCATACAAGGTTCATAAAACCACCCTTTAAGAAATGATCAAAACAACTAGTTAAGACATGAATTCATACGAACCTGTAATATTGCTCTTTTGGGTAACTGTGAAATGTCAAATTCAGTAATCCCACCTACAAGAAAGCCTTCAGACACAAATTGTTCAGGAAAAACGTGTTCTTCTTTAGAACTTGTTTTGAATTTTAACTTGGAGAATTTTTGTAATTGAAGTTCATGCTTTAGCATCTGCCATGAAAATAATTTACAGATTCCATGGAATTGTTGTAAGGACTAAATGAGATGATACATATAAAGCACAATGCTTGATACAATGATAGCACCAAATAAACATTATCATCATTGTCATTATATAAATAATCATTGTCCAGAGCATATGTAATAGTCTCTGAACCACCAAAGCATTATAGATCATTTCCACTAGTTGTCATAAAATACTGGCATAGGCAGTCACCTTGAAGATGTGGTCCAGCCTTCTCTTGTAGAAATGAGAAAGCTGAAACCCACAGAGTCAAGGTTCTGGTAATGACAGAACTGATACTTGGGGCATGGAGGGGTAAGGGTTACCCTGGAGCTATAAGAGGAGAGTCAGGGGACTTCTTCTCTGGTGCAATGGTTAGGATCCACCCTCTCACTATCAAGAGCCCGGGTTTAAGGTCCCTGGTTGAGGAACCTAAGATGCTAGAAACCGTGTGGCATGGCCAAAATGGAAAAAATATATATATGTGTGTATATATATATATATATAAATGTTTTTCTTTAAAAAATGTCAGAAGGAAAGAATTTGGAGAATTGCCTGATGTATCATTACAGTAAATCCCCATTTTTACTTTTAATACATTCATTAAAGTGCATAATCAGGGAAGAATCCCTAAAGGGCAAAGAAGTGCTGTACCCACACACGCACATTTGCTGTAATATGTGTACGCATTAGAGCCTGAGGGAGAGCGCACGGTGGAGAGCTGGCACGTGGCTCCCTCCTCCCAGCGGACACCGGCCATCCTCACTCCACCCTAGTGAATGCAGTAGTGCTGTTAGGCCAAGAAATCACATAGCTAAAATAAAACGTTTTCTTTAAATACTCAATTAACTAGTTAATACATATCTACTCTAGTATTCTTGCCTGGAAAATCCCATGGATGGGAGGAGCCTGGTAGACTACAGTCCATAGGGTCACAAAGAGTTGGACACAACTGAGCAACTCACTTTCACTACTTTCACTTATATTAAGGATAATATTATTCTGTCATATATAATATACACTGTCATATATATATATATATATATATATATATAAATTACTACCAAACATTGGCAGCCTGGTCACACAGTTACCTTTTCACCAGGAACCATAAAACGGGATTTAATTTCTTCCTATTTTTCTCTTTTCTATTTATCCCGACTTTATATTTCAGACTATTAGTAAAGCATTACATACTAAATAATGTAACTACAAAAATTCCAGCATGTTTCTGTATCTGTTCCTAGTAGTTACTGTGAATATTCTAAAAAAACATTAAATTATAATCTACTACACTGACAGCTAAAGCAAACTAGAGATGTTTTTATTATAAGTTTGAAGGAGTTTGCTTGGATCCTCTGTTTTGACTGCTTTAATTTCTAATAAGTGTCCCAGTTAAGAATGATTCAGGTGTAGAAATTTAGTAGTTTTAAAGATAATTTAGTATTAAGATTTTATCTATTATAATCATAGCAAAGCATTTCTCTTCCACTTTAAACATTTGTTTCCACCTAAACACTTGCTTAAACAAAATTCTTAGTGTCTTTATCAATAAATTTAAGTGAAATGTTAAAAAGATTTTTCGTTGATATTGAACTTCAAATGAAAGAGCAAAATTTATTAGGAAATGTTTTGGGTAAGTGAGGAGGTATTTAGATTATTAAATTAAAAGAACAAGGACCCCATTAAAAGTATATAATATTCAAGTCTTTAGTGTTTTCCACACATAGCATTATTATCTGAGACAACATCAATGTAACAGCAAAGTTCAATTTCTAAAAAAAAATGTTTACAATATGCCATACCAGCTCATCTTCTCTCTTTTTAAACTTATGTCTTGCTCTATCCCTCCATTTATTTAGGGTAATTATCATCTTGTAGCAGTGGAACATCTTTTGTATCCGCAATAGTGCGTCTGAAGAAAATGCATTAGATTACTGTATATAATTACACAGTATTATAATTAATATTCTATCAGGTTTACAATATGAAACAATGCTCTGATAGTTTTTATTTTAATTGCATCTGAAATTGATTACTTTTGACAGCAATATATAGTACCGCTGAGACTTCATTAACTTGTAAACATCACCTTTGCCCTTATAAATTAAGATATTGTAGATGTAACAAAATGCCAAGTTATATAGCATTTCCTTTTTAACAAATCTGTTCTTTATAAAATCAGAACTTCCAGATTTATTCATAGAAGTAGTCATGAGATAGTACTTTTAAATACCCTGTGACTAAATAGATTGCCATATATATATATATATATATATATTTTATGTTTAAGCAGGGGCCCAAAGCTCAAGCGCAGGGGGCCAAGCCAGGAAGGAGGATAATTGAGGCAGACCTTGGGGACACCATTCTTAACTATAACTAATTGCTTCCTCTCAGAAATAAAGACCCACTACCTAGCTTAGTTGGTAAAGAATCTGCCTGCAATGTAGGAGACCTGGGTTTGATTCCTGGGTTGGGAAGATCCCCTGGAGAAGGAAATGGCAATCCACCCCAATATTCTTGCCTGGATAATCCATGGACAGAGGAGCCTGGCGGGCTACAGTCCATGGGGTTGCAAAGAGTCAGACATGACTTAGCGACTAAACCACCACCACCACCCTTACGTTAAAATCATCAGAGTCCACTCTGAGGTACCAACAGGAGCCGATCAAGAGGAAAGGATTTACTGATTTGCAGCAGCCATAAACAGATCAATATGTAGTTAGCTGCATGAAATCTCTATTCCTGCTCTAAAGAGCACATACATGCACTGTCCACTCATTACAACTATCAAGGGTTTAAGTAAGAGAAAATTATTTTTCTTTAAGTTTTCTCAGAAATTCATTAAATGAAATATAAAGAATAAAGAGCTCTTTATAAAAAACAATTTTGATATCTATCTGTCCATCTACCTTTTTATCCCAACTCTTTATTTTGTAAAAAATGTTAATAGTAGCTCCTTATTTATACTGAAACTTGTATATATACCACACAAATAGATATAGAATTTTATTTTGAATATGCCTGCTTTCTCTTACACTAAAACTCTTTGAGACAAATCTCATTAAATACTTTAAATTAGTGACTTTACATTTCATGACAGTTTTATAGACATAAAAATAATAAATTCTCTAGTAAAAACTATGTTTAACTGTTAAGTTTGTTGAAACTTTGGATCCATGAAAACAAAAACCAATTGTTACTGTATAAGGATTTACCTCTAAGTTGTTCTTTTCTATTTTTCACATAAGAGTGCCAGTGGTGTAATACATGTTTTTTAAGTCTGAAATTGTCATATACTATTGCTGCTCCCATTTTTTCAGCCAGAACTTCATCTTCATTTGTAGGAGGTATTGCTATCTCTCTCCATGTGCTATAAGCAGAAAATCAGGAATATAATATTTTGAAGTTACAGTAATACATTAGTAAATAAACAGAGAGAGAAGTAATATACTGGGCCTCCTTTACCTCCTCAAAAACCACAGTTTCAAGAAAGCTGTTAAATTATTTGCATTGTTTTATTTACAGTCAGTCCTTGCATTTTCCTGAAGCTTGCATTTCCCTTGTATACATTTCTAAAGCCCCCAAAGCTCTGAAATTGAAACTTTTTTGTGTGTTTTTTTTTTTTCTCCCATAACCTATTTAGAGGCAAAGCTAGACCTGACCTAAATTTTGCATCAAAACTTCTCAGGATCTGACACATAACAGTTCACAGTATTTCATTTCACTTAGCAAGAATATACAAATACGTTTTACTGTAGAAATACTAATGTGTTCAGATATGTTCGGTTCCAGTGTACCATCTCAGATACAACTGAAGATGTTACATAATACACAGTGTGTACAGAGATTTCCTTTTTTAAAAAATTTTTAAGAAAGGGAATCTAGATTTCCAAATATGTCTGTCTCTAAGGATTTCAGATAAGGGGATTATAGACCTGTACTTTCAGTTTTGAAGTTCTATTTTTAAAAAGACAAAGTGGTACCTTGAAGAAGCAAAGACTATCTTTTAACTAAGTAAGAGCTGAATAAATATAAAAGAAATATATAATATAAAATGATGAAAACAAGATTAAATAGATAAAATCAGTACAACTGGCCAAAACTGAGTTGTTCTTCATATGGAGAATCTCTAGAATAAGAACACAAAGAGGAGGGAATAATATATAAAACTCATGTTCTTACTAAAAGTGGGTCTTCAGTAAACGCCCATTATAAAAATTGCATGCTTTTATCATTAATTCTGGAGTCACCTAAAATGAAGAAAGACATGAAAAACAAGCATTAGAAATAAATGGAATGTACAGGCTACCTCTGGAAGATATACAAGAGAATGAGAGCAGTGATTGCATCTGGGAAGTAGAATTAGGCCTAGGGAGATAGGAACAGACTTCTAGAAGAAGTATCAGTTCAGTCAGTCAGTTCAGTCACTCAGTCGTGTCCTATTCTTTGTGACCCCATGAATCGCAGCACGCCAGGCCTCCCTGTCCATCACCAACTCCCAGAGTTTACTTAGACTCATATCCATTGAGTTGGTGATGTCATCCAGCCATCTCATCCTCTCTCGTCCCCTTCTCCTCCTGCCCCCAATCCCTCCCAGCACCAGGGTCTTTTCCATTGAGTCAACTCTTCACATGAGGTGGCCAAAGTATTGGAGTTTCAGCTTCAGCATCAGGCCTTCCAATGAACACCCAGGACTGATCTCCTTTAGGATGGACTGGTTGGATCTCCTTGCAGTCCAAGGGACTCTCAAGAGTCTTCTCCAACACCACAGTTCAAAAGCATCAATTTTTTGGTGCTCAGCTTTCTTCACAGTCCAACTCTCATTTCTATACATGACCACTGAAAAAACCATAGCCTTGACTAGACAGATCTTTGTGGGCAATGTAATGTCTCTGCTTTTTATTTATTTATTTATTTTTAAATTTTTTGTATTTATTTATGTGGCCGCACCAGGTCTTAGTCGGGGCACATGGGATCTTTCAGCTGTGGTGTGTGGGATCTAGTTCCCCACCAGGGATCGAACCCAGGACCCCTGCATTGGGAGTGAGGAGTCTTAGCCACTGGACCACCAGGGAAGTCCCCTGTCTCTGCTTTTTAATATGCTATCTAGGTTGGTCATAACTTTCCTTCCAAGGAGTAAGCATCTTTTAATTTCATGGCTGGATTCACCTTCTGCAGTGATTTTGGAGCCCCCCAAAATAAAGTCTGACACTGTTTCCACTGTTTCCCCGTCTATTTCCCATGAAGTGATGGGACCAGATGCCATGATCCAACTTTTTCACTCTTCTCTTTCACTTTCATCAAGAGACTCTTTAGTTCCTCTTCACTTTCTGCCATAAGGGTGGTATCATCTGCATATCTGAGGTTATTGATAATTCTGGCAATCTTGATTCCAACTTGTGCTTCTTCCAGCCCAGCATTTCTCATGACGTACTCTGCATATAAGTTAAACAAGCAGGGTGACAATATACAGCCTTGATGTACTCCTTTTCCTATTTGGAACCAGTCTGTTGTTCCATGTCCAGTTCTAACTGTTGCTTCCTGACCTGCATATAGGTTTCTCAAGAGGCAGGTCAGGTGGTCTGGTATTCCCATCTCTTTCAGAATTTTCCACAGTTTATTGTGAGCCACACAGTCAAAGGCTTTGACATAGTCAATAAAGCAGAAATAGACGTTTTTCTGGAACTCTCTTGCTTTTTCGATGATCCAGCAGATGTTGGCAATTTGATCTCTGGTTCCTCTGCCTTTTCTAAAACCAGCTTGAACATCTGGAAATTCACCGTTCACGTATTGCTGAAGCCTGGCTTGGAGAATTTTGAGCATTACTTTACTAACGTGTGAGATGAGTGCAATTGTGCTGGTGTTTGAGCATTCTTTGACGTTGCCTTTCTTTGGGATTGTACTGAAAACTGACCTTTTCCAGTCCTGTGGCCACTGCTGTCTCCCAAATTTGCTGGCATATTGAGTGCAGCACCTTCACAGCATCATCTTTCAGGATTTGAAGTAGCTCAACTGGAATTCCATCACCTTCACTAGCTTTGTTCATAGTGATGCTTTCTAAGACCCACTTGACTTCACATTCCAGGATGTCTGGATCTAGGTGAGTGATCACACCATCATTGCGACAGACCACGCAGAAGCATGGCTGTGAGGAACTACCCCTTGCCCAAGGCCAGGGGCAGCGGTCGAGAGGAGCTGTCAGGGGTGGCGGCCAAGAGGAGTTACCCCATGTCTAAGGAGCGGTGGCTGCGTGTGTGCAAGAGGACCAAGAGGAGCTACTCCACCATTCAAGGTCAGGAGGGGCAGCCATGAGGAGATACCCCCCAGTCCAAGGTAAGAGAAACCCAAGTAAGACAGTAGGTGTTGCAAGAGGACATCAGAGGGTAGATACACTGAAACCATAATCACAGAAAACTAGCCAATCTGATCACATGGACCACAACCTTGTCTAACTCAGTGAAACCAAGCCATGCCACGTGGGGCCACCCAAGACGGACGGGTCCTGGTGGAGTGGTCTGACAGAATGTGGTCCACTGGAGAAGGGAATGGCAAACCACTTCAGTATTCTTGCCTTAAGAACCCCATGAACTGTATGAAAAGACTAAATGATAGGATACTGAAAGAGGAACCCCCCAGGTCGGTAGGTGTCCAATATGCTACTGGAGATCAATGGAGAAATAACTCCAGAAATAATGAAGGGATGGAGCCAAAGCAAAAACAATACCCAGTTGTGGGTAGGACCAGTGATAGAAGCAAGGTCTGATGCTATAAAGAGCAATATTGCATAGGAACCTGGAATGTTAGGTCCATGAATCAAGGCAAATTGGAAGTGGTCAAACAGGAGATGGCAAAAGTGAATGTCGACATTCTAGGAATCAGCAAACTAAAATGGACAGGAAAGGGTGAATTTAACTCAGATGACCATTATATCCACTACTGTGGGCAGGAATCCCTTAGAAGAAATGGAGTAGCCATCATGGTCAACAAAAGAGTCTGAAATGCAGTACTTGGATGCAGTCTCAAAAATGACAGAATGATCTCTGTTCATTTCCAAGGCAAACCATTCAGTATCATGGTAATCCAAGCCTATCACTGGTAACCCAACCAGTAATGCTGAAGAAGGTCAAGTTGAATGGTTCTATGAAGACCTACAAGACCTTTTAGAACTAACACCCGATAAAGATGTCCTTTTCATTACAGGGGACTGGAATGCAAAAGTAGGAAGTCAAGAAACACCTGGAGTAACAGGCAAATTTGGCCTTGGAGTATGGAGTGAAGCAGGGCAAAGGCTAATAGAGTTTTGCCAAGAGAACGCACTAGTCATAGCATACACCCTCTTCCAACAACACAAGAGAAGACTACATATGGACATCACCAGATGGTCAACACCAAAATCAGATTGATTATATTCTTTGCAGTCAAAAATGGAGAAGCTCTATACAGTCAGCAAAACAAGACCAGGAGCTGACTGTGGCTCAGATCATGAACTCCTTATTGCCAAATTCAGACTGAAATTGAAGAAAGAGAAAACCGCTAGACCATTCAGTTATGACCTAAATCAAATCCCTTATGACTATACAGTGGAAGTGAGAAATAGATTTAAGGGACTAGATCTGATAGAGTGCTTGATGAACTATGGACGGAGATTCGTGACATTGTACAGGAGACAGGGATCAAGACCATCCCCATGGAAAAGAAATGCAAAAAGGCAAAATGGTTGCCTGAGGAGGCCTTACAAATAGCTGTGAAAAAGAAGAGACACCAAAAGCAAAGAAGAAAAAGAAAGCTACCCATTTGAATGCAGAGTTCCAAAGAATAGCAAAGAGAGATAAGAAAGCCTTCCTCAGTGATCAATGCAAAGAAATAGAGGAAAACAACAGAATGGGAAAGACTAGAGATCTCTTCAAGAAAATTAGAGATACCAAGGGAACATTCCATGCAAAGATGTGTTTGATAAAGGACAGAAATGGTATGGACCGAACAGAAGCAGAAGATATTAAGAAGAGGTGGCAAGAATACACAGATCTGTACCAAAAAGATCTTTACAACCCAGAAAATCATGATGGTGTGATCACTCACCTAGAGCTAGACATCCTGGAATGTGAAGTCAAGTGGGCCTTAGAAAGCATCACTATGAACAAAGCTAGTGAAGATGATGGAATTCAGTTGAGTTACTCGCTAAGTCATGGCCAATTCTTTGTAATTGCATGGACTGCAGCATGCCAGTCTTCCCTATCCTTCACTATCTCCTGGAATTTGCTCAGATTCATGTCCACTGAGTCAGTGATGCTATCTAACCATCTCATCTTCTGCTGGCCCCTTCTCCTGTTGCCTTCAATCTTTCCCAGCATCAGGGTCTTTTCCAGTGAGTCGGCTCTTTGCATCAGGTGACCGAAGTTTTGGAGCTTCAGCATGAGTCCTTCCAATGAATATTCAAGGTTGATTTCCTATAGGATTGACTAGTTTGATCTCTTTGCAGTCCAAGGGACTATCATGGTCTTATATATTGAGTGTAGAGATAAGTTTGGTTCAAATACATACCAACTTCCCAGAATTCAGAATTCTACTTTTCTAAGTCAAGCATTTTTCTCATTTGCTCATTGCTGTAAATGCTTTGATAAGTTAATAGATACAGCATGCACATGTTGATCATGAAGTCAATTTTAGGCATATAAGAAAGGCCTGTGTGCCCCCTGATATTCTGCCTCATGTTCAATGACATTTGAAAATTCTTGCTTTTAGTAGGTATTACAAGCAAGTTGTATGTGGTGAGGGGAGAACATAAGTTATTGAAGTCTTTCTTTACTAAATTCTGATCTTCATGGGGGAAAGGAATCCAGAGGAGTAAAATCAGAGTTTTGGGGTTGGTGCAGGGGGAGCTGCATGACATCTGTCTCAGCCCCATGGATTGTGGGTCTGAGCCTTATGGAGAAGAGACTACAGCAAAATCCAAAAACTTGCTCTTATGAGGTGTACAACACAAAATAAGGAAAGGCATTTCCCCCACTTCTGTATAGCACACACAGCACAGTGCCATCAAATTTCATGTGACTTTAAATTTTGAAAGTTTTCCAACTTTCATGTGATATAAAAGTATTACCTACCAAAATCTTACATTATGCCAGGTTTTGAAATAATGCAGACCCTCAAAATAAAGTTTTATCAAGAAGCACTTTATTTCAAAACTGGTGGGAAAATGAATGGAAGGTTTTAAGTCCTTGCTAGATGGTGGTAATATTGGGGTGTGTAA